AGAAATCAAAACAGGCAGAAGCTCAAGTTCATAGATAGGATTGGCCGAGTACTGAAGGACTTGTCGCATGAAAGCGGAAGGCACGACGGAGCCAAATGCCCCAACTGCAGTGCCACTGTCATCGTAGAGAGCAGCGCCAACACTACCCGATCCGCCCTCGAAAGCCCCGTCAGTAAACAAGAACCACGTCCTACCAGATCCCAAGCCTATCTCAAGCGGAACCGCAGAACACAGCCTTTGTTTAAGCACTTGGATCGCCTTGTTCGCCTCCTGGGACAGGCAAGTTTTAAGGACTCCAGCACGCGCCTGTCTGTCAAGAGAACGGACTGCCTGGGCCGGCCCACGACCGAAAGCGTAGCCTTCAAAGAAGTTCATGCGGCCTCGCAACCTCTCGGCTTCCTTTGGGCACAACTTGTTCGCCTCAAGGACCTTGTCTAGAGACTCAGTCAGCTCCTGGATGCGCTTTGTCGTATGGCCAATCCTGACAACCTTATCCTTAAACCCACTAAGGTCAACGACGAGACCCAGCATGTTAAAGACAGGTGCAAACTCTGGTGCCTTCTTTCCTTCAGTTGCGTATGTCAGGCCCAGCAAGCTGAAGAGGGACTGAACGGCATAAGCAGCATTTTTCTTAAGGGAAGTTTTTGACACCACACTGTAGTCGTCAAAGAAAGCAGTCCAGATTACGCGTAGGGCGAGGATGCCCAACATCCAAACTGACATACTAACCCTCAAGAAGGCTGCTACAGAACCTATCGCACCAAAAGGGAGAGCATTCAACACCACTGCCGAGGGTTTGACGTGCCCTGGACGGTTCACATACATCCTCAAAAACTCACGTTCTTTGCAAGATACTGGAAATTGTTTGTACGCGGATTTAAGATCGTATGTTCTGCCGCACAGGGACATGTTGGCATCTGTGCTCAAGCCTAGGGCATATGCAAGCATGGCCGCCATCCTGTCAATGGCGTGCACCACAAACTTTTCAACTGTCCCCACCGTGGCATTGAGGCCACAGCAACTGCAATCGTCGATCACACGAGTTTTGCCGCCCTGGGAGATTCCGAATCTCCTGGCATAGACCCTGAAGTCGCTCTCCACCGTAGGAGCCTCAAAGATCCAGCCGTGCTGTAGCTCAGCCTCTGTTTCTTCCCAAGTTGCGGCTTCAAGTTCAGCATCTTGCTTCATCGACATTTGATCCAACGTCTGCTTGTTCAAGCCTTCGGACAACAACCTCAACGTGTCAAGTGAGAACTCAGGCCGCTTTATGTGCTTAGGAAAGGCGTGGCTTTGCGGTAGCCAGCCACTCAAGGGGAAGCCCGCCATCATGTCATCCACTAAAGTGGTGTCAGGCAAACCGTACTCTGCAATCATCTCCTTCCACAACAAGAGCCGCTTCCCTTTAAGGATGTGCTTAACATGTTCCGGGAGCGACGCATGCAGAGCCAGCTCGCGTTCCTCCAACTCTTTAGCTCTGGACGTCCACCTGGCAACGAACTTCAGCCTACGTTTGGCTAAGTCAACTTCGCTCCCAAGAACATTCTCACGGACAACCTCTTTCAAAGTTGGCTCAAGGCTCGAAGAGAAAGCACGCGGATGCCCCACTTTGACAGCCCTCTTTACGAATTTTTCCGGGGTGAGGGGAACGCCAAACCTAAACACCTCAACCTTAGTAGAGGGAGAGGGGCTCTTAATGCGACATTGCAAACCCACTGATGCCACTCGTTTCTCGGCCTGCACTTCGCCCCATGTTGAC